GAGGAGAAGGCTGTATTCCAGTCAATTGAATGCTTTGAGAAAGACCACAATTCCTTTAAGATTGTGCTGAGTCCTCAGTAGAAATCTAATGAAAGACAAACTGAGATTTCATAACATCGTACAAGCTTCAAAGTAAGATACTCTAAATTCACATCCTAGCTATAGTCTCATTGGGCATGAGCAAAGCACAAAATACTAACAAATGACACATTAGTAATTGAGATTTTTAGGACAGAGCATCACACAAGGTGTTTCATTGTGTGGAAGGACTTCATTTGCTTGACTGAAACACTTAGCCTTCCAAGTCAGTGAGAAAACTGCAGACAAACCTTTGTGACGGCGTTAGAGCTCAGTGCAGACTTGTTTTCTCTTCATTACACCTTATTAAAGTTGATATAATTTGTGCGTTTGAACTGGGCATCCAGTATCTATTTTGATCTAAAGAGAGAAGACAAGCCCTTCTCGCCTAATTTGGAATGTTCAGGCTAGTGTTTCACACACTTAAGGATCCATTTGTAGTTTGGAGTATCAGCTAACTTATGAACTGAATCTCCTGCAATGGTCTCCCACGGTCTCTGGAATCAGGGCCATTCTGTAGCCAATGTGGACCAAGGCTGGCTGGCAAGAGAACAGGATTCCTCCCAGGCCCCACCTGTCCCCCAGTGCAGAGTAGGGTAGGAAGTCATATCCAGTTAAACCACGGACAGAGAGATCCAACCAATCTCCAGATGTTTGCATTAACCGGTTAGTCAGCTCTCCAGTTTGCTAACATTGAGGGCTCTCTGATGACTGGCTCACGCCCCTCCTTCTCACTTCTTTTCCTGGAGACTTTGGTGTCATGCAGGCACAGACCCAGATGACCACTGACAACTCTAATTTGTGTCAACCCTTCTTGGAGCCTTCTCATCAGCCACATCTTGGGCTCATGCTTTGTCCTTCAGAGACTGCCCTCTTGTTTTATTGGCCTGACATTTTGTTCTGACCTCTGTTGTCAGCTTCCGGCCCTGGTGTGGCCTCTGTTCAGTCACTTCTTTTATTTATAACTTATGCTCTTCTGCTCGGCTCAGACAAACTCGCTGATTTGTGATCTGGTCACACTTGCGTTGCTCTATCAAATGTAAGATCTCATCTTATTCTCTAGCATCTCTCTTTTTGTCCATGACATTTATTTGGCTTCTTGCATTTTCATTTTGCTTTCCGTCCTGATTACAGATTTAAAATGTCTGCATTATACCAGTGAGGAACAGCAGTTCCAGTTCAGAGAGACCACTATGAACCATACTTTACATGTTTAAAGCATTTTATGATTTTATAGAGCATCTGCATCCACTCAACATCTTATGTGATCCTCACAACAACCCTGTGAGGTAGGTGTCAAGACCCCATCTTACAGGGGAGAGAATGGAAGTGGTGAGATACACATACACATAGTGTGACTTAGAATTCTACTAGAACCTTAATGCTGTGAGTTCTGGGACTTTGTGCTAAACTTTGAAGGAAAGCAGTGCTGTAAAAATGTGATCTGTTAATAGACAGACATTTAAAAATACCATGGAATCCCATATTTTACCTACTTCTTTTTTTTCTCCTGCCTTTTCCTACTTTTTCTCCTTTCTCATTTTTGGCCCTTTCTTCACCTACACATATCATTTCTAGTTCTACTGAAGTATTTCTTTTTCTCCAGGATCTATACTGGATAGCTAAAGCATAAAACAAAAAAGCTTTTTAGAATAAAAAATTATCAGCATTATTTTTTCATGATCAAACTATTCTTGCTTTAAATGGTCAGGTAATTTAAGGAAATAGTTTTGTTTTTCGGTTCAAATGTGTTGAATGAACTGTCCAAGCTCCACTTTTCCTCACTATAAAACTTGAAAAAAAGATGCTATAACTTGGATAATAAGACAAGAAGGTAAACTAAGCAAATCAAAATCAATTTATCTTTTTAATATTCTAAGGAATTTAAATTTCTTGATCTCCTCTAAACACCCATAGAGTCCTGTTCTTCCCCCAGCATAGCTTTGCTTTATTGTATAGTTGCCTCTTTACATGACTATGTCTTTCAGGGACAATCAGCTCTTTAAGGCCAGAGACAATAGCTATCTTATTAGCTGCTGTGTCCAGCTTTATAAAGAGCTATATGTATGTATGTAATGAACATATGCCAAATGCATGAATGAGGGAATGAACAAATAGATTTTCTTTTATGTCATCTCTATCTCTAGTTGAGAATAGTGTTTTTGAATGTAAAGAACCCACATATAATCAGTATTCATGAGATTTCTCCTAGAACCCAGTGGGTTAAATTGGGTTCAGCAAGATACTAGATGAATGGGTGGCAGAGGGATGCTGGTCTGGCTCTGTGGACTGGTAGGAGCAGCCTTTCAGTTGGTACATCTCAACCAGGGGTGCTAGGGCATGGTGGTGATGGTGGGGTACTGGAGAGGGGAGAAGTATGAGCATGGGAGCAGAGTCCCAAACAGCACCAAGGACCAGGAGAAGCCATGAGGAAGCCGGGCACCGTACAGGAACCAAGGTTGTTTGGAGGAGCCACAAAGGGATCTCGGAGTCAGCTGTGCTGATGACTTGTCCAGAGGTGAAGGGCCTTTTAATGAGATGGTAGCAGAGGGTTCCTGCCCAACCCACCTGATCTTAAAAGGGCCCTGCCCTAATATGATCAGGGAGTTATACTGGTCCTGACACATATATAAGAGAGGAAATCAATGATTATTTTTATTACGTTTAAATTATGCCTGAAAAATATGAAAAAAATGCATATTAAAGTAATTCAATATAAATTTTCATATATCATAATTAATTGAAGATGTAGAGAATCAGGCACTTTCGTACAGAATACATGAGTATCTTTTTGGAGCCATTTGCAAGAATCCATCAAATTGTAAAATGCATATCATCTTTGGATTATTGATTCTACTTTTAGCAAATTCTCTATCAAAAACTGTTCCCACAAGATCGTATATAAGAATGCTGAATGTAGCACTGTTTATTAAAGCCAAACAAAAGAAAACAAAAATCATTAAGTGCTCACGGCTAGGGGGTTGAATGACACATTATGGTATAGCTATATAATGGAATAATGTGCAGCCATTGAGAGAGGAGGTAGAGCCATATATAATGACATGGGCAGACGACTGGCATATTAAATTAAGTTAGAAGAACTTATTTAAATAAGAAGAACTTAAATATTAAGAACTTTCTTAAATAAGAAAGCAGAATGTACTGTATAGATGTTTGTGTAGATGATTCTTTTTCTCTTTTGGGACATTATAGTATTACATACTTTCTATGGGGGGTGAGCATTAGGGTAATTTAGAGGCTAATACACGAAAATACCTCCCATTACTTTCTCAAAGAAAGTATGCACATAAACTTCAAAATAGCCATAAAAATATCTTATCTGCAGCTGAAAACATTTCTGAACATATCTGAAAAAAATGTTCAAAGCATTTGATAACTTCAGGTAACAGAAGACAGTGAGTGTGTTCAGTACAGACTACAAAATCAAGAAGCCCCTTATTTGCCAAGTTTGACCAGAGTCAAGGTTAAGAAGCTCAGAGAAACTCTCAAGAAAGCAAGACAAGAAGATAAAGAAGAACCAAAGATAAAGATAAAGAGAGAGATAAAGAGAGAGATAAAGAGAAAGAAAAGCATGAAGACCTGGAAGAGAGCTATACAAGGAACTCAAGTGAAAACGAATGGAGGGACAAGAAGAAAGGGAAAGAAGTGGAATAAAAACTATACAGCAGACAAAAGTGATCACATGAAAGGATAAATGGATACAAAGGAGAAAAGATATACTAATGTTTCTATTATCTTAATACAATGGTAATAACACTGATAATGATTGAATAAAACAAAGCACTTTGAGGAGACACAATATTCTGTGTTGTTCAATTTAGGAGCAAAGACAGATCAACAAGGCAATGATGGTGGAAAGCACCCTGTGGTTACATTATATTTTAACGAATGGCATTCACAACGATGACCCTAATTTGTCTAAATGTGACATCCATACACAGTATTAGGCTAAAATAATTATTTTTGCTGAGACAGGGAAATTGTACTATAGTTTTTAAAACAATAGCTACAATGGAAAACTGCTAGATTTTTAGTACTTTAAAGGATTTGCCATAACCTGTCTAAAACAGACCCTTGATGGGTAAAGATTATGTTGCTGTGTGTGTGTGTACCAGCTATTCCCACAGACACACACACATCGCTTGTAGCTCCTATTGGGAATCCAGAGGAGTTGTCCCTGCATTCTGAGAAGTCACGTGTGGACTCCTCAATCCTTTTCACAATCCTTTCACTGTATCTGTGAAGACTGGGCCTAGACGCACAATAGTTGACTTATGGCATGGCATATTGAAGGCAGCTCTTCTAATATTTAGTTTTTAAGGTCCAATTTACAGATTCTCTACACTGCAACATGAGGTGGGCATTCCATCGACACAGAATTCTGTTGTGAAATCTATTCTGTTGCAGTTTTGAAAGTCTAGGATATAGACTACCACTTCTCAAATTTTTGGTAAAATATAACCAAACACAAAAACCCGAGCCATCAGAGAATTAGTCTGTGAAGGTCCTTAGATTGTCCAAATTCCTACATGTAACCTTTCAGTTAGCTCAGTTAGTAGATAAAGAGGCTGTAATTGTTTCTATTCATAAACTCGATTTTCCTTCAGCAGATAGAAATGGACTTGAAAATTGAACAATTTTCCATATGGAATTTTTAGAAAATCGTACTCACCACAAAAACAAAATACAAATGGGTAATGAGATTTAAAGAGCTGTGTAATTTAATCTATTTGTTTTACTCCAATTAGCACGCTTTGTTTGTAGAAAACTGTGGCTGACTTCCACAGAATCTCTACGGATTGATGCTGAAGCTCCCAACATTTGCCTCAAACCCAGACCACTACTATCACAACTCGTTTATAACAAAGGCACACACGAAAAACAAGAAACTATAAACTTACTTAGCATGCTTCCACTCCCCTTTTCTCCCTTCTGGCCTTTTTGTCCTGGATTTCCTTGAAAAGAAAAGCCAAAAAATGACTTTTTAAAATTAGGGCAGTTCACAATGCTTGCTTTAAAGGAGACAGGTACCACAAGGTGATCTAGAATATTAACGTATCACAATCTACAGATATTCAAATATAATAATGCTGTTGATGATGGTAATAATAAAAATAGCTGTCATTTTAGAAGCCCTATTATGAACCTGGCGTTGTTCTGGGTAGGTCCTTAGCACATTATCTCATTATTTACAAGGGATTAAATGTTCCATTTTCCTAAAAGTGGGAAAAACTGAAGTGTAAGCAGTTTAGCAGTTAGTTTGGTGCTGATTTATCCTTTCGTCCCCAGCCTTTGACTGTGCCTTCCTTCCTCCCCCAGGGAGCCTGGTGCTGTCCATCTCATCCTACTCCTTGTGACTCTATTCCCATGACAACTTCTCTATCTTGTTTTCCCTTTCTTTAGCATGGAGCATCCCAAAGACCCGGCTGGGATGAATTTCTGGGAGTGCCAAGACCCACCTCAGTCCTGGGGGAAGCCAGGAAGGTCTGAGGGGCATCGCAGCCTCTGGGCTAGTTCCTTTTGGCTTTGAGAAACCTCAGCCACTTCCCTAGGGGTGTGGTCCAAATGTTATCATTTTACATGAGGATCAGGACTTCAAATAGGTATGGAAACATTGCTAGGACCTTAGTCTTTGCTAATGGGCTGCTATTTCACCCACAGTTCCATTGTTAAAGGTATACCCAGAAGACCGCCCTTTGGTACCTACTAGAGATTTTAATGGTAATAATTTCATCTTCTGAGAGTGGTGGTGTTTTTGCTCATCAATTCTTCTTTCAACAGTCCTCAGATATCTACCTTGCAAGTAACAACCTTCTTGACATAAATATAGGACAGATCATAGTGCTGTCTGACTCTAACAAAGTCTTTGTTAACGTTCTTGATTCCGCCCAACAAAATCAAGAACGTCTATCTTTCCATCCAGGAGGTCAGAGGATGTAGTTTAAAAATCATGGGCTTTGGAATAATAACAATAATTTACAAATCCCTATCTTGAATTATTTTGTTCTGCCACTTACTAGTAAGTGGCTCTGAATAAGTCTTCCTGAGCTAAAGCTTATTCTTCTGTCAAATGAAAAAATAACACTTTCCATTGCAGAGTTGCCTTGAAAATTAGCAGCCTTTCCCATAATTGATAGTAGCTCTTACTATTATTTTTTGTTTTACATCTCCCAAAGCTTAGCTAGAACTGTCTCTCTGTGATGTTATTCTCAGTGAATAAGAGGACTTTTCATCTCAGTTCACTTTTTTTTGTTTTCCTGAGGAAGATTCACCCCGAGCTAACATCTGTTGCCAATCTTCCTCTTTTGTATATGAGCTGCCACCAAGGAATAGGTGTGCGTCCGGGAACTGAACCTGGGCTGCTGAAGTGGAGGACACCAAACTTAACCAGTAGGCCACCAGGGCTGGCCTTTCAGTTCACTTTTTATGGCACAATTATTTTTTATTTTACTTTAAAGTTTTAATCTTTATTTTGGGTTTTTTGTTTGTTTGTTTCTCCAGTTTACTTTGCCTTCTTCTGTGCTTTATTTTTGAACATTTGTCCTTATTCACCTCTTAGAGAAGATTTTTTGATCCCCAATTTACCAGATTTAAAAAATATAAAATTATGTGTGATGAGTAATGTGAGAATTCAGACTTAGCACTTAAAAAGTATAAATAATTTCCAATTAAAATTCTATTTTGAAGAGTTCATGAAATGCCAACCATTCCTTATCAAAGTATTATAAGAGAATGCCTCTAATTGCCCTGCATACGTGATTACATTGTACGTGATTACATTCACTTTTTAATTATGATTCAGTCATTTCAGGTAATGTTAAATTGGCAAAAATAATTAATTTAGCACAGAGTACCTAAAACCATTCCTATTTTTTTCTTGATGGTATCTTTTTATGAGATATAGTATCAAAGTTTCTGATTTCTCAAAAGAAAAAGTCTAAGATAGTAAAAAACAGTTGAGAAAGAGGGGAATTAAAAGGGTGTCACTGATCAGTTCTAATTCTTTTCAGAGAAAGTAATATAATAAGCAAGCTTAACTTCATCATTTCAGAATTATTTTCACAATTAGAATAAAGGAAGTGACCATATATTATTCTTGAAAAATCTTTTCATTACTGCAACTTGTGGTGGGTATTTTAAGAATAGAAATGCTCAAGTCAGAGTACCAAGTGAATGACCCACTTAAGTCTTGATAGCTCTAGGATTGTATAATAAATAAAAAATTAGGGGGCTGGCCCCTTGGCCGAGTGGTTAAGTTCGCGTGCTCTGCTGCAGGCAGCCCAGTGTTTCGTTGGTTTGAATCCTGGGTGCGGACATGGCACTGTTCATCGAGCCATGCGGAGACAGCGTCCCACATGCCACAACTAGAAGGACCCACAACGAAGAATGTACAACTATGTACCAGGGGGCTTTGGGGAGAAAAAGGAAAAAATTAAAAAATCATTAAAAAAAATTAGTTTCTTTTTTATTTGCTTTTTACCTTACACCACTCTTTTTTTTAATGATGGTAAAATGAAAACTACCTTCTTCTTATAAACAAATACAAATTTTATGTCATTTTACCATGATGCAGAGATTATCTCACAGATGACACTTGGAAATCTTTTCTCACACTTGAATACATCAAAAACATTCTAGAGAATGGGAGTATTTCCCTCCTTTAGAAAGACACCTTTGGCTAAAAAATGAGCCCAGGAACTTAGTGAAAAGCTGGAATAAACCATCTCCTGTCATACATGTCGCTCTTCAATCAAAAACAAAGAACACGTATTTCTGAAAGTCATTGAAAAATAAGAAGTAAATAGTATGTAATATACTGACATTCTAACTTTAAATATAAAGGGAGGTAATTTCAATAAATCATTATGATTTTAAGCATTTTTAGTGCCCCTTCCAAGAGCTAGACATTAGACTAGTCGTTTTCACGTACACGTCATAAATATCCCAGCCATACTGGTTGCAGCTATTTGTTTCAGATGTGACCATCTCCCTCCTACGCCTAATACTTGTTTCCCGAATTCTTCACCTTCAACCTTCTTTTTAATCTTACACTATCCTTCTACCCTTCTTTCCTCTCTATCTTCAACCACTCCTCTACTTTATCTTCCCAACAGCATGTAAGCAAGATTCAAATCTCTCTTTCACAGAAATAAAAGCAAATCAAATGAAAAAAACACAACAAACAAAAACCTGATTTCTTTCTCTTCCTCTACAAAGGTTCAGGTTTCCCAGCAATTACAACTCTCATCCCCAGTTCACCTCTAAGCATTCCCCAATCTGCTTCCCACCTCACCCTGCCCCGCCCCACAGAAACTGCTCTCAGTAAAGGCAACATCCCTATAACAACAAAAGCAAGGAGCTTTCCATACACGTCATCTTACTTGACCACCTTTTGAAACTCCCTCTGCCTTTGGATTTTTCGTACCACATTCTCTGGGTTTTCTTCCTCACTCTGGCTGCTTCTGTTCAATCTACTGCTTTGCTGTTTCTGCTCAGCCTGTACTTCTGGAACTACTTAAGGCTTTATCCTAGGCCCCTTGTCTTCACATCTTTTTCTCATTGTCTACCCACAAAATATAATTAAAATCACTGATTCCAATGAACATGTATATATCACAGCTTCAGCTTTGTCCTTCTAGCTTTTGCCTCTCCTCTGAACTCCATAGCCATATATTCAACTATCTATGAATATCCGCATGAATGACACAGAGAAAGTGTTCAGTAAGTATTTCTCAAATAAATAAATGAACTATTTATGGTCCATAGTTTTAGATACTCCCAAGAAAGACCATAACTCACCCTTTGCGGAATCAGACTTGGAATGGACTCCAAAAGTCTGAGTGGAGAGAAGCACATTATTTACATGGTAGAAAGTCTAGTTTATTGGACAAGGTTATATCCAGAGTCCTCGAGGGATTTTGAAGATATGTAAGGTTACACTTCAATTCAATCCTCAAAGCTTTCTGAAGTAAGTATGTCAGATCTTGTAAATGCCCTACTCCATAGATCTTCTATGCATGAAGAAAGCATGAAGTCTTCCTTTTCTCTTCTCTTATTTGTGTATCTGATCAGCCAAGGACTATGCCTTATTCATTCGTCATTTCCCTGTATCTAGCATTGTACTTTGTATATATAGTATGTACTTAATACATGTAGAAGGGGTTGGGGTCAGGAAGAAAAGGAGAGCAGGGGAGAAAGCAGGAGAAAATAAATAAATAGTCCTGCTCTTTCTTTAATTTTTTGCTTTGAACTCTGATAAAGCTTTTGATATCACTCAGATAGTCCAGGCTGTGTCATTAGACTATCAATTATTGGATTTCATCTCTAATTTTACCAGCTTCTGTGGACTCTTGTAGAGGAAGCACTCTGTATTAGTCCTTGTTTTAGTCTGCAGTACAACTAAAGCAGTACCAGGCACTGCTGCTCACATTTCTACCAAATTTGAACCTTTTTATAAGGAAGTGATATCTTAAGGATATTTTTTTTTTTTTGAGGAAGGTTAGCCCTGAGCTAACCGCTGCCAATCCTCCTCTTTTTGCTGAGGAAGACTGGCCCTGAGCCAACATCCGTGCCCATCTTCATCTACTTTATATGTGGGACGCCTACCACAGCATGTGCCATGTCCGCACCCGGGATCTGAACCGGTGAGCCCCAGGCCGCCAAAGCGGAACATGTGAACTTAACTGCAGTGCCACTGGACCAGCCCCTTAAGGATATCTTTTGTTAAAGGTTTTATTACCTCTTCCTTTGGTTTTATTTTTGCCGAGTTTCTTTTGCTCCACTCCTTTTCGTTACCTGAAGATGTAGTTCTCAAGGTGTGGTCCCTGCATCAGAATCATCCCTATCACCTGGAAACTTGTGATGAATGGAAATTCCTGAGGGAAACCAAACGCTGACTCTTGAATCAGAAACTCCAGGGGTCGAGTCTAGGATGCTCTGTTAACAGGCCCTACAGGTGACTCTAATGCCTGCTCAAGTTGGAGAACAACAGACCTAGAGAAATTCTATGCATCTCTTAGGCCAGCACTAGCACCACTTCTGTAACACGTTGTCTTGCTCTGTGGAATTAATGACTCTCAACTCTCTACTCCCATAGCATTTTGTCCTACTTCACAAATGTTTATCACTTACCATATTACATTATAGCTAATCGCTTCTGTATTTTTCTGTCTCCTGCTCTGGGAGGGCAGTGCCTGTGCTCTATTATCTCCAGCATACAGTGAACCCTCATAATACTGTGTTGACTGCGTGAATGACTCAGTGAGCACTCTCCCGAGTACTTTGACTATGGGCACTTGCTGAATTCTAGGAGTTTAGGAGTAGAGAGAAACCTAGAGCTTGCACTGGCTGTAGCTAATAACTAACATGTATATGCAGCCTGCTGTGTGATAGACACTGTTTGAAGCACTTTAAGACATCTATTAATTCATTTGATTTTTATAGAAATTCTAAAGTGTGGGTCCTCTTACCAGCCCTGTTTTGCAGATAATAAAACCAAGGCCCAGAGAGGCTAACTAAGTGGGGAGGTAGGGTTCAAACCTAGGATTCAAACATGCACTGTGTTATCCCTGGAAAATACAAATATGGACCATGCTATCCTTGTGCTTTCCAACAAGGCAAAAAGAATAATATACATGGAATAACTATGTGCCACCATGAGATTCAAGTTCAAACCCCTCTGACAAACATTTAATCCTCCAAAACAAACAACCTCAGATTAGATACGTCACACAAACTTTACAGAATCATCTTTTTGATTATACTTTTGAAGAGAGGTCATTGTGAAATTCCTGCGAGAAAACTTTTCAAGGATGGGGAACTAGCTTGTGTCATATCCCCAGCTCCAAGCAGAATGTATGAGACAAAATAGACACCTAACAAATGAGGAAAGTTATTTCTCGTTAAATCAGTTAAGTTGTGCTATAGTTACACGACTCTTCTGTGGTTCATTTCTAACTTCTTCCCTGACCACATCGAGAGAAAGTTGTACTTAACAGACAGACACTTGTGAGAAATAGTGAGGCTTTCTTAACATTCCTAAAATTTCTGCCACTTTTCCCCTTTTTGTGTAGTCTTTATAGAAAGACAAATTAGTAACTCTAATTTACTCAGAGCTCATAGTGATATTCATTGGTAAAGTTAATCTTATGATTTAATACAAATAGGAAGTTATAAATAGATCATGCCAGAAAGAGTCCCAAACAAAATCTTACCACAATTTTGCCAGGGATAATAAATGACTATCTATTTGAGATAGATAGTAGACTAAGACACCATTTTAACTAAAACAACACAAATAAAATATCTTTTCTCACTTCACAGAATTATTTTGAATTATCTTGGAATCTATAAGTAGCTTCACAATTTTGTCAAATTCAAGGTTTTCAAATACATTTATCTGTTGAACACAAACTGCCCATCCAGGAAATTCAGCAATTCCTGAGCGATGTAGATAATGTCAAACAAATTAACAAACAAACACACACTTCTTCCCACGTTGCCAAAAACGCCTGATTAAAGCTAGCTGGTTTTAGAGATGGTTGGTACATAAATACATCATTCAGTTCAGGTGCTCAGGTCTCTGGGGGAGACACAGTCCACAAACACTGATACTACCAAAAATACCTCAACCCACATATTAGAATTTCTAAAATCCAAAACACCGATGAACATCAGATGCTGGTGAGGATGTGGAGCAATAGGAACTCTCATTCATTGCTGGTGGGAATGCAAAATGGTGCAGCCACTTTGGAAGACAGTCTGGCAGTTTCTTATAAAACTAAACATAGGTCTACCACGTGATCCAGCAATGACACTTCTAGGTAAACTCAAGTCCACACAAAAATGTGTGCATGAATGCTTATAGGAGTTTGATTTGTGGTTGCCAAAACTTGGAAGCCACCAAGATGTCCTTCAATAGGTAAATGGATAAACAATTTGTGGTGTATCCATACATTGGAATATATTGAGTATTAAAAATAAATGAGCTATCAGGCCACAAAAAAATATGGAGAAACTTAAATGCATATTGCTAAGTGGAATAAGCGAGTCTAAAAAGATTACATACAGTACAATTCCAAGTACATGACATTCTGGAAAAGGCAAAACTATGGAGATAGAAAAAAGATCAGTGGTTGCCAGGAGTTGGGGAGGGAGCAGGGTGGTGATGAGTAGGTCAACCACTGGGCATCTGCTTCACAGGGCAGGGAAACTATTCTGCATGATACTCCAGTGGTGGCTACTTGTCATAACACATTTGTCAAAACGCATAGAAAGCAGAATACTGAGAGTGAACCCTAATATAAACTGTGGACTTTAATCACAATGGATCAATATTGGTTCACCAGTTATAACAAATGCACCACACAAATGCTCGATGTTAGTAACAGGGGAAACTATGTGGGTAGGTAGTATATGGGAACTCTGCGTTTTTTGTGCAATTTTTCTGTAAACCTAAAAACTGCTCTAAAAAAAATCTGTTAAAAAAACACCTTAATGATAAGGATCCTATTCTCTTGGTCATACTTTTCTTTGAAATTAGGGTAAAGAACAAGCCTGTCTCCCTCTACAATTTCTGTGCAAAGTTCACAATTCAAGCTTAGGCTACTGGCATAAGGAGTAGAAATAACATCAACATGTATGTAAATTTTAAAGGGCCCAATCAATGTTGATTAAGTACTTATATATAATACCAGGCAGTTTATCTTGCATAGGATAAGATTTCAGGTCTATCTCTATTTTGCTAACCGTAACTGAACAAAGTTTGGTCAGTTTTGGTTAAAGAGATATTTATACTTTGCTTGTTTTTCTTTGCCCGTCTTTCCACTTTCTTTCTTCTAAGATAGATACCATTTTTCATGGTGATTTATGATTATTTGGGGTTTATAAATCCTGTTTTATTTTTAGTAAACTATTTTCTGTAGGGATATAGAAACTTTCCTCAGGTGGACAGAAATCAGTTTCAAAATGTTTAAGACCACAAAATAAATTGCATGAGTGCTACTGTTCATGCTATGATGACCATCATTTTGTTATCTAGGAAGTTGAAAACAATGTGTGTGGACTGTGTTATTTTACATATTCTATAAAGATAATATACGTTATCATAATACCTGTCCTCCCGCTCTTCCCCGGTTGTCCTGGGTATCCTCGACTTCCGGGAAAGCCAACTGCTCCCCGATCACCTTTAGGACCTGAAGGACCTACATGGTTAAAGGAGGAAAACACAGTGGTAATTATTCATTTTTCATATAGACTTGAGGGTATAATGAACAATCTAGTTTCATTGATGAATATGAAATAGGTGAATCTCCAAATAGAGGAAAAACATCTTTCCTAAAACTTCATGTGTGCCATTGGTAGATAATATAAACAGTAAGTAGAATGTCGGTACAATTAGTACACTGTAGACATTCAATAAATACATTTTTTATTACAAATAAAAGCACATGAGAAAAAAAAAATCTTGGGGTTTTAACTAGAAGCTCATGCAGTCTAATCAGAAATCTTCAAATGGCAGGATTTTGCTGTAGCTGAAATGATAACTTTGAGATATATAAGCTGAAAATTGAGTTCTTAAGAATTGTCGCAGAAAAAGCACAACTCAAGCAATAAGAAATATCAAAGAGTATTTATTTAAAAAACAGGGGTTCTATTTCTAGAATATATTACTCTATCTCTCATGGACTTATTTTTACATATTCCATTGTAATCCCAAACAATAGTGTAACTCTGTGTGTGTGTGTCTGTGTGTACAGTATACAGAGATTCATTTATGGGTATATATTATACACATATGCAAACCCAGGGTTTTACATGCTTAAATAAAAACAGCCATTTTTTTTTTTTTACCCCAAATATCTGTGGTGACTATGAAAACTGCATATAATAGAAAGTGTTATTTTCCTGTGGAGTAAAATGTTTCATCCTGGAGTCCAGTGGTTTGAGAGAAACTATTGTAAAAATCTCACTGTAGATGTCATTATCAGTTCACAGAGATCCTATTAACCCAATTTTCAGTTAACTCCTTGGGAAGCACATTATGAAAAATTGATTATACATCTTTTTCCAGTGTCAATCTTTTAATATATTACCATTAATTTACAAGTTCCAGGAGTCAGGACTTACGCATATTTAATTCATTTAAAAAATCTTTTGAGATTCATTTATATAGACACCTAAAACTGGGTTAACTGTTCTCTATGAAATGTTCAGTTTAAGAAGTATATTATTTTAAATAGTTAAATATTATTCAACCCAGGGTAAAACTTTCATTCCAATGGAAATTAAGTAGGTATCTAAAGCAATAAAATGGTAAGTTATGTTTAGAAATGTTAGTAAAGTCAGGCCACCTCAATTTACTCAATATATATTACTTTGTGTATATATTGATATATTGTGTATATATAGTATATATAGAAATATACAATATATACCTAAGTGCAATATATACATATGCACAATATTGATATAAGTACAATATATACATATGTAAAATATTGAGATTATATATATAAGTACTTTGTAGTACATATTGGCTAGACTTCATAGCATACAGCCTAAAAAATACATAAAATCAGTTCTCAGGACAGGCTTATAGATGAATATTTGTATCTTTCTTCACTATCCAAGCAAGGTAGTCAGAACTTTCGACTTACAATTGTTAAAATCTGTCACTCAAATTTATAAATAAAAACATCAACTCTAAATTCTCTCTCTCTTTTTTTTTTTTTTACCTTAGAACATCCTGCACTCTGGTGTCTCCCATTTTTACCATTTATCCATTAATTCAACAAAAGATATATTATGCTTGCATGTTGTGCATCCCTATCCATTCCTGGAGTTACAAAGGTTTTCATCCAAACAGATCACCCAGTGTGGAGAAACAGTAAGGGGAGATGGATGTAAGAAAGTTAGCAAATAAATTTTAAAAAAGGTAATGTTGGACGTCGTAATTTTAGAAAAATGTAGAAATGTAATAGAGAATGCCTTGGGATCTGCTTTAGAGAAGGGGATCAGAAAGAGCCTCTCCAATGATGGCTCATTGAGTACATTACAGTGACACTCAGAATACAGCTATTCTACTAGAAATTATGTTATATTTTCAAATAAATAAAATCCATGAATCCATGAAATTCAAATGAACCCATGAAGGAAGCACAGGTGATACTTTCATTGCAGTCACTCGATCATCAGACCTCTATTATGGGAGAAATTTAAGCAGCTCTACATGGCCTATAGGGTCATGTGACTTGTTTGTTTAATGATGTTTGCAAATATGACTCCTAAATATAAGCACCACAATTGAATTTTATTCTAAGAGATCAGATTCTCTGAGCCTTTCAGTTGGCAATCAGCTAATTTTCTGCAATTTTATCTGTGGCAAAAGGAAAGGGTCTGGCACCTGCTTCTAACTCACAGGCAAAATCAGCACATTTTACCCAGAATCCAGCTATGGAATGTGAGAGCTTCAAGGGACCGTACAAATCATCCCGTCCAAATATGTCATTTTGCAGAGGCGGGAACAGAAGACCAGAGAGATAAAACCATGTACATAAAGCTGGTTTGATAATAATTCACATATTCTCGGTTCCCAGCTCTCCATCCAGGCTTCTTTCTGTGGTCTAGCAGACTGGTTAAGAGCACGGACTCTGAAATCATGTCCATCTGGGATCAAATAGTGGCTCTGCCACTTACCAGCTGCTGACTGATCTTAGGCAAGCCATTTAACTTCCCTGTGCATCTGTAAAATGGGCATATTATTTGTACCTACATTATAAATTTGATGTGATGATTAAGAGCTAATAAATGCAAAACACTTAGAATAGTGCCACCACATCATAAATGCTTGGTGTTAGGTCTTCTTTTTCTCCTCCTCTTTTTCCCCCACCCCTTCTTCCTCCTCCCTGTACTCCTTCTTTGTAGTAATATAATAATTATTTTCACCAGCCTTTTGTGTATAGTTAGCAGTGACATTTTTGGATGCTTTTGCACAGTTTGTTACCTCCCAAACAAATCTGCTTTCAGGGCCAGCCCTGATGGCCTAGTGGTTAAAGTTCAGCACACTCTGCTTTGGCAGCCCTGGTTCAGGTCCCCAGGCATGGAACCACACCACTCATCTGTCAGTAGCCATGCTGTGGTGGCAACTCACATAGAAGGACTTACAACCAGACTATACAACTAGGTACTCGGTTTGGGGAGGGAAAAAAATGAGAACAAAAAAACCCCCACCTGCTTTCAATACTCATGCACAGAGCAACAGCCTGAAGCTGTCAACATTCTTTCCTTAAACGTATATTTTAGGGAGCATTGTCCTTGTTGAGGCCTGGAGGAGAGGCCTCTCTGGGCCATAGACTATGAGGAGGGGCAGGGTAGGGCAAAGACATGCACGGGAAAGTGCTCAGTAGACATTTTTTCAAGTAAAATGCATTAGGTCATTCTCCCTGGCATGTTTCCAAGGAAATGATATTCTGAAATGGATTTCTATTATATTATTCTGAAGTGAAGCACATTTTAACATAATGTCCACCCCAGTACATGAGTAACAATTGTAATATATTTAATATATTGACTATTTAAGACCACTAAAATAAATACTTAAATTTCATATCATGGTTGTTAGTCTACGTGACTTTGACTTTGTCAAGCTGAGTTTAGTGGGCTCAATTGGATGTATAAGTGGAGTTTTAATGAACTTGCTGAAATCAGGAAGTAGAATTATCATGCCGGTACATCATATACCCTTAAATTCCAGATTCTAGTACCAAGTATGGGGCAATTAGGCAATCTGGCAGAGCGCAAAACAGAATGAAGCCATTAAGTGGGGAAGAATCCATTAGGAGAGATGCCTGGAAATTGAAATACTTTTGCCGCAGTGCAGCAAACCAAATGGTAACCTAATAATCTAAAAGAGTCAATTTATCAGCCCAACAATGAAATCGAACTCTCTTTTATGAGGGACTAGATAATGCCTACTTGTGTACATGAGCAGTACCAAGTGGAACAGACTAGGCTCTCACTAAAAGAATCAAACCAGCTTTGCAATGGTGTCTGTTTATGGTATTAATAGAAGCTGAAACTTTCAAACTCCTCTTTCTATTTCATACATCTGTAGTTCAGAAAGAGCTGCAAAAGATGCTCCCAAGATGAAGCTTTGTTCGGCAAGTTATAGCCCAGACTGCCTTTATGGTTGAGCTATAAAGCTTTGACAATTGCAGTTTGTAATGGCAGATCTGATGGGACTTTGACAATAGCAGCTCTGGCAGCTGATATAATACTGGTTACTTCCCCTTCTTACGGCATTAACGCACCATTGTTAAGATCTCCTGAGTGCTAGTCAAGTAGAAAGACTTTTGTGAATAAAGAATCGTATCTGGTAGTACTTTCAAAGGCACACCGACAACCCACGCAATATATATATATATAGATAGATAGATAGATAGATAGAGATATATAAAATAGATATGTTTTTTCTTTAAAATAATTTTAAAATCTTTTTAAATGTAAACTTCATATATTGCTTTTTAAGCACAATGTTTTAAAGGTCATTTAAGTATCAAATTCATGCTCTTCATTTTTAAAAGTTATTTTTCTAATGTAACCTGGGCTAGTAAATACATTGATCAAAAAGAAGAACATTTTGTGTCATCAAAAGACAGAAAAATAAGATGATGTACATGGTATTTAGACATGTTTTTGGCAGCACAAACCATCCTAGTTATGATTAGACCATGCAATGTATTCCCCGCTTACAAAAAGCATGCAAGGTATTTGATTTCTAGCCAAGAATAACATGACAATCGTGTTATTGTTATTGTCTTTGTTTTCTTGAGAGGAAAGAAAGTTCATGCTCTTTCTCCTTTTCTGTCTTCTATTAGCTTCTTTCAAAATATTGCTTTCGAGATTGCAACATAGACAGAGGAAAATAATTTGAAATACTTTTGCTCTAAGTAAAATAGGGAGAGTGACTGACAGCAAAGGTAAAAGTCATCTGCGTTCTAGTCAGCATTTACATTCAGATTTCGTAGGTTTAAGCAGCTAATTTCCAGCGAAGGACTATGAAGGAATACAACCCAATTTGCCTTTGACTCATATTAATTTTTTTTTTTTTTTGCATTTTAAAAACCAGATAACTTGCAAACATATTCAATGTGAAGATGATTTTCATATTCTCCTTCACACGTGACCTAAAGCTAGGTCTGCCATACCTTGTTTCTAGTCAGTGATATAGATATAGACATATTCAATGACACAGATAGCACTCCCCAGACTTAATAATAGCCCCATGTGGTGGCTCTGGCTAAAGCATTTGACTTTCTTCAAAAATTAAGAGTCAGTGCTTACCATTCACTACATTATAGTGATTAGGCCACTGGAACACTTAATTTCCATCTCAACATACACACACATGTGCACTCATCCCACAGGGGAAATCAAATAGCTCTTCACCACCCCCCCGGACACATATATGGATGTATATTACCTGATTCTGTAGTATATGATTAAGCAGTTACTATGTCCATACCTATTGGACCTGGAAAGCCTCGTGGACCAACTTCTCCAGCGGGACCTCTATCTCCTTTTTCACCTGGGGGCCCAGGAGGACCTTTAAAAAAAATTACACTTACTGATCATAGTTTCAAAGCATAGGTAAAATGGATTCATAATTTGTTGAAGTAAATTCAAAGTCTTTTATTTGTTGAGCAATAGCATAGAATGAATAGGACTTCCCTTCCTGAATGGAGGCACACTCTGCTATTGAGTAGTGCAATGCCCTACACAGGTGTGGGTGAGATAGCCCTAAACTAGACAACCAAATTATATATTCAATATCGTCTATGAGTGCCTAGCACTTTTCTACATTCTCAGGACTTGGGGGCAGAGAAAAGACACTGAATCAACGATGGCACAAACCCACTTTAGTATTGTGTAATACCAGGTGGATTTCACTATACTGAGTTCGATAGATGCTCATAGTATAGATACATTGAGTGGAAAATGTATAAGTAAAGATTTACAAGTCATGTGTGGTACCCTCAAGGGAAACAGAAGACCATACATAGTAGACAACCAAAACCCATATTGGTGAAAATGACAAACTCAGATATTCGTTGGAGAGATGCAGATCAGCATGAGTGGCAAAGGTTGAAAAGACTTTACTGAGGGAGAAGGATTTGAAGGGTACTTTGAAGAATAGGTAGAATGAGAAGAAAGAGAATTCTGGGTAAGTGGGAGAGATGTGGGGAAAGGCAGGACAGTAAAAATGAGTAAATAAATACTTTTTCAAGTAAAATATTAAGTAGAATCTCGAGGTAGATATAGATATTATAAAATAAGATGGAAAGGTTGCAGGGAAAAATTTGACTGCTTTTGTCTCACAATTTCCCAGGTGTCCTCTGAGTACTGAGTTGGATCAACATTTATTTAGTCACTTGAATTTTCTGTGCCCAGCAAAACACATATCCAGTGATCACCTCTATGGAATAATGGCACTAGGTATGTCTTTAGAACTTAGAGGTAATCCTGCCAGTACTCCCTTTTCTATATGGAGTATACAGGACAAATATTATTCCTTTCATTTAAAGCAGAATGCTTAGCAATTTTCTTTTCAATTCCAAAAGGGAGAAACAAACCTGGATACACCATAGAATAATCAAATAGCAATGTTTTAAAAGAGGCATTTTCAATTGCTATGATTCAGCCACATACATAGGCCAAGGACAACACACAACTATATTTAGCATCACTGGTCTACAAATTTTGTTTACACCTTTTAATCAGGTGTGGAGATAGAATACCCGAAGAATTCTAAGAGGGGGCCACATAAATAGGTAAAGATTATCTCATAAATACGTATATTCTGTCCATTTTCTTTGCTTCTTTGGAAGTCTTTGTCCCTGCTTCTCTCCATTTCCTTATTTGTTCCTTTTTTCAAGGTCTAACACGGGTGTTAGAACCTTCCTTCCCTGGTTACTCAATTTTCAAAATATCATTGCTCTTCTCGATGGCACATTGTCCCTCGCTCTTAAAACTCAACATTGGGCAGTAATATTTTATTGTATTTTCATTATAAAAGCAATTCTACTTATTATAGGAAATATAAAAGCTTAGGAAAAATATAATTCGTAATCCTATCATCTTAAGAGACTATTAACATTTATTTCCTGTTTCTGTGTGTGTGTGTATCTTTTTTGGTTGCATTTTTCTTTTTACATAATCATGGTGCAAGCAAATTCTCCTAAGCTACAGCTTAATGTTGGAGACATATATTTAGGTGTTGCACAAGAAATGTCATGGTTCTTCATCAGTGGGAATCTGTGTGCATCTCCTATTCCACGCAGAATGTAGTTCTTCCCAACAAAGGGAGTTTAACTTTCAAGACCACAAACACAGCTGCAGTTCATTGCTCTCTGCACCGCGATGAAGGAGGGGCAAGTAGGACAGAAAGAGTCAATTTGCAGCCAGAATTTTGCTGAGTAAATTGAAGAGAAGCAAATCCACAGTACTTAAGGATGGTGTTTTGGAAAAAAAAAAAAAAAAGCACAAGAAATGATTTTGATTTAGTAATTAGGGTTCTAAAGCAAGACACAGACATTCCAGAAAAACTAGAATGTGTGAGACAAAAATCAAAGGCCACACAGACTAGATCTAGGCTCTCAGCCTCTGAGAATAAGAGTTTTCACCATTTCTTTAGTAGGTAAGAAGTGGAGCTCTTTCATAATCACTAACTATCCTTTCAATTATTTTGCATGTGACTATGTATGGTAAATTTATACAGCTCTAATGTTGGAGTATTAGTTCAATCATAGCAAACCCATCTGTGTTATTTCACAAAATTCTGAGTTGAAGATCCCTCTCTGTGTATTTTCATATAAAAATACTGACACCAAGTATCTGAACCCGAGTAAGAAAAGCAGGTAAAGCCTTTCCTTAAAGAGTTCCAACTAGGTGTATCAGATGATATATTTTTATTGTTATTTTATTCTTCATGTAACATTAATCTCACCTATTATATTATGTTTCATTTTTATACGTTGTTACATCTCCTCTACTGCCTAGAACAAAATGTGGGAAGTATCTCAATAAATGTTTTTAGCGTCTTTCAGCTCTTTTGGAGGGAATGGAAGTACACAGATCATATGCCACTTTTCTCTTAGCTTCTTGAGAACACTGTCACCATAACACTATCATGTTAGACTCCCAGACTGGTCTCCTCTCCACCCCTGCTACAGCTGACATCATCATCATCCTACAGGTGGACTTTTCTAGAGTTTTTTTTTATCTGGTCTGAACATATTTTTCTATTCTACCCTATTTCCTTCAGTGTCAGTTTTCATTTTTTTAAATTATATCTCTTTGTCAAAAAGCAAACCCAGGCATATTATATCATTTAAAATCCTCAGATAATAACATAGCACTAATAATATCTGCCTTAATTTCCAGAGCTATGCTCCTCTATGCCCCATTCTTTATGATCATCCATTTTCTACTTCATTCTTAATCGTGCCTCATATTTAGATCATCATAAAAATCTACCAAATCTTCTAAGCTATTGCTGCTTAAACCTGCCTCTTTTTTTTTTCTACCAGTTTTCATGCTCATTGACTTAGATATGTTTAATCTGGAAGAGGCCTTAAAGATTTCTGAGTCAAATATTCTCATAGAGGGTCAGAGAGAATGAATTGCCCATGGTGGTAAAGCTAGTTGGGTAAAACCAGATCTGGAACACTTTTTCCTAACATCCTAGGCTATACTGTTCCAAACTTAATTGACCTCATTTTTAGCATCTGCTGTTCCATTATTTCTGAGACGAATTTTTCCTTTACGTAGTTGTTAAAGACACAATCCATTTTTTCACATACCAATAATAATTGCACAAATCTCCAAATTCAAATTCTATCAATTGCTTATCCTTCTTCCTTATCATGAAAATTGATTAAATAGATAGATAATTTTTGGCACTTTTAGATCTTGGAAAGAAAATATGTTTAAAATGTTCTCAAATAAATATCATGCTATCTTTTCTCACCACTGAGCCCATTATATTTTATTTCTCTTAACTTCTTTCCCCGAATGTTCACCAACTTTGTTTCTTTAGATCATGTTATCCCCCACTCTCCACCAAACTCTACTTCACCATTTCAATAATAAAATTTCATTTAGTCCTTTGGACTCCAATTACTACAATTACTTGAGAAATGAATTAAAACATTGTTATCTTTTTATCTTCATGATTATTAGCCATTCTTAATATAAAGAGGAGAGACACAAAGTAATGATGCTAATCCTACCACCAACAAATGATAAAGCACTCATTAATTTATGTAATATATCTCTCAGGTTATAGTTTAATAAATATTTATTAACATTTTATTTTATGGCTAGATGTTGTAAAGGACATAAGAAATAGTCCCTAATTTTAAGAAACTTACTGTTCTAAGAAGAGGCAACATCTCACTAGAAGATAGTATGGGATACTTTTAGATAAGACTATCATACGAAGAATTCTCTTGTGAAAGAATACTCAGTGTTCAATATTAAGCAAGATGTAAATATCAGCAAGAGTATTATTATGGTGGAACCAGAGAAGTCTTCACATGTTAGATCGACATTGAATGATAGATATACTCAGATATAAATAGAAGAGGAAAGATATTATTTTAAGTGAAGGAAAAGGCATGAGGCAGGATGTAAAAAGTACTGAGTATGTTAGAATCAAAGTAAAATCAGTTGACATATTTCCTGTCAAAAAGGGAAAAGGGAGGCAATGAGGTATTTGAAAGTAGTTGAGACACATTTTGGAAGACTTTGAGTGCTAAAGAGAGAAATGTAGGTCTAATGAGGAGGGAATGACAAACTTTTGCCATCTAGGGTGTCCCTTCAGGAAGGCTGCATTCTAACAAGGGTCTGAAAGGACAGAGTCTGAAAGACTGAGGCAGGAAATGCTTGGGAGACTATTTCAATCCGGCAGAGTAGTGATAAGAATAATTCACACAAGAATATAAAGAAGTGACAAGACCACAAAGAATATAGAACATAAGAACTAAGGCTGGTCTGGGGAGAAAGAATAAAAACAACTAAAATTTCTATCCTGGAAACCTGGAAGAATGACACTACCATTACAAAGTTAACTTAATAAGAAGGAGGAGCTAGCTTCACTTATCCGTTCAACACATATATGATTGCTCGCCTACAATACACCAAGCTAATAGGTGCTGAGTATTAAGGGATAGACGAGACACAAGACTCAGCCACATGGAGCTCACATTCTATTAGAGAAGATACATGACAAACAAATAAGCAAATGTATATAGGAAACAATTTCATGTAGTCGTAAGTACTATGAGGAAGTTAAAGCAAATAATTATATAGAGGGATGGGGCATAAGAATAGGAATGGAAGAGGGAGAAATTATTTCTATAAAAGGTAATTTTGAGTGGAGCCAAGGAGTGGAGATCTAAGAGAAGAACATTTCATGAGAGACAGAAGGAGTCTCGTGAACATTATGGACAAGAAGCGAAACTAGCACTTCCTCCTTACTACCATGTACTTTTTAATGGCACTTTCATTCTCCCAGATTTCCAAGTCAGGCAGAGGAAATGCCAGAGGGAAAATCAGAAAACAAAGGCAGGGAAGTAGATGGGTTCTAGACCAAGTAGAACTTTAGATTTTATTCCAAGTTCAATGGGAAGATATTGGAGTGTCTTAACCATGAGAGAGAAAATATCTAATAATGTATTTTTCTGATAGCACCCTTTTGCTCTACATTATGGAGAACGTATTAAGGGTAAAGTCAGGGAGAACAATTGGGAAGCTGATGTAGCGCATCAGACTGGAATATAGCTGCTTGAGTTAGAACAGTAGCAGAGGAGATGAGAAGGGCTTTTATTTGAAATATTGGCTATAAGAAGAGTTAACAGGACTCATAGAGAGATTGGATGTAGGGAGAGAGAGAAAGAGACAAAGAGCTTCCAAGATCTTGGAGTGAGTAACTAGTTGGACAATGATGTAATTGACAGATAAGATGGGAAAAGCAATGAATTTGGTGGGTGGATGGGGGCGGGATGCTCAAGAATCAAGGATTTAGTTTTGGATTTGCAAAGTTTTGGAAACTTATTTGAAGTCCAAAGTGGAGTTGTCTAACTGTTAGAGGGAAAGCTGATTAATTCAAAATTTTCTTTATCATATTTTTAATGTAATAATTAAAGAATACATGCAATGTTTTCTATATAAGTGAACTACAAAGCACAATAATAAAGAGAATACCCCTGCAACATGGCAACCCAAGAAATTAGTATCTCTCCAGGTGCTCTCCGATCTCATTCATCTACTTTCTTTTCAGAGAGAGATATTAACCTGAATTTTGTGTTTCTCATTTTCCTGCATTTTAAAAACAACTATTTTTATTACATGTGTAAGTATCTATAAATATCCATGGTTTGCTAAACTGTGAACACTAGAAGCAAAAAAGGCACTATATATAGTCTACTTGGACTTGTTTCAAAAATGTTTTTCTTGTAAACACTTAGATATTAGACTTCTTAATTTTCCTAAACTAGTATTATGTAAAATGAAATCTTTCGGATTTCTGTTTCTTATTACTAGCTAAAATAAAAAGATTAAAATTACAAAATAGAGCTTAACAGACGTGGAACCTAGAATAAAAAGATCTAACATGACTTTAATTAGTGTTACAGAGGAAAGGATTGAGAGAATCGTGGAGAAGAAACATTCAAAGAGATCGAAGCTGATAATATTTCCAAATTTATGATAGACTTAAATATGCAAATATAGAAAGAAAAAAGTGCCAAATGAATAAATTGTAGATATAAAAACACAGATTAGTGAAATTCCATGTATTAAAGACAAAGAGAATGACAAGCATTTTGGTAGCAGTCATTTTTAAAACAACAAGGAAAGCCAGAAGCCAGGGGAATAATATCTTTAAAATACTAATAGAAATAACAAAAATAGCTGTCAACCTAACACAAGTATGTGCACTAAGACAGTTTTAAAGATCAAGGATAATACAGAAAAAAATGAAATCAAGAAGTCTCATCACCAATGGGCTTTCACTAAGCGAACCTTCAAAAGATAGACTTTGGGAAGAAGAAAAATAATTCCAGAAGAGATGGCTGAGACGCATTTGGAAGGGAAAAAAATGGTAAACTCATGGGAAAATATAAATAAATATTGTCTGTATAATGTAAGAAAAATAATATTGTCTGTATAATGTAAGAAAAATAATATTGACAAAATTATTCGTTTTGAAAACCCACATAAAATAAAAGTGAAATGCAAAAATAGGAGGAAACCAGGGACGGGGGTCATCAGACAGAGCATTTTAAGTTCCTTGTACATTTTAGGATAAAGGTGAAGATAGCGATGAACTTTAGATTTTGTTAAGATACATTTAAAGGGCAACTATCAATAAAATAGGAATAGACTATAAAGTTTTCAAAATCTTTTTTGGTGCCTTTGGTGGAGAGAAGAATTCAATGAGAAAAATGTCAATCAATCCAACAGTCTACAAGAGAGGAAAGCAAAAGGAAGAAAGAACTGGACAAAAGCAGCAGAAAATAAGGTGGTAGAAATAATACAATGAAAAGAGGTGGTCAGATTGCACAATAATAATAACAATAGAAATAATGTGTTCTTTACAAGATACAAAAACTAAAAAAAAATACAAGAAGGTTGACAGTAATATGGAAAAATATAATGTAATAAAAGCTAGTGTAAAACCATATATGATGTATATATTGATTAGAAATTCTCTAAGATTTAATTCACCTTTTTTACTAACGTGAACCGAAGAATTTGACAAATTCTTCGTTATTTTTTAAGAGTTCAAAGAACTATTTACTTAAAAATATAATCAGGTAAGAAGTAAGAAAGAATCTGGAAGTTTTGAAAAACAAAATTAACAAATTTGGTTTATGGACAGGTAGAGACTTTGTGCCTTACAGAAAATTTGTCTGCAGTACATGTGGGATATTTTGAACAATGGCTTATTAGACTTTAAGAGCAATTTCATTTTTTATCCCTTTCTGTTCAAAGGATACCAGGATACTGTTATCTTACCACGTCTTGACATGATCTCAAGATTCTTTCCCTTGAATATTTGTAGTAAATATTTGTTCAAAAACTATTTTAAACCTTTAGGATTTCAAATAGCAAATCTCTGCATATATCAGTACATTTTAATATGTCGTTTTCTGGAAGGTTAAGAAGATGTTTTACCTTGAATTAAAGTGATATTTTTCAATGTCTGAGAATGCTCCCAATCTTTCAGTCTGAGATCATTAGTGATGTTATTCAATACTTTCACTTCCCCTTTTATTTCCTCCTCCAAATGCGCTTGCTTTTCTCTCACTAACGTAATTTCTGCTGATGCCTTGTACACACGCTCCTCTAATTGACGGATCTCCTGTGAAACATAAGCAAGCACTCACAATTTCGGTCACACACATAATTATCAAATATGTACATTTAAGAAGCCCTGGGAACCAAGTTTTTAAAAAACACACATTATAGGAATATTATGGCATAAGAGTATAGAAATTAGAGAACTGTTTTAAAATAGTGATTCTTTCATTTGGAAGCATTTCCTCTTTTGACTGAATGGCTGAATTGTCACACCCTCTGCCAAAAAAAATTAGTTGAATATATCTAAGGTATGCTTCTATTCCCAAATATATATATGTCAAAATACTAAAAATAAAATAAAATAAATTAACTTATGTGGTTTTTCATTTATCTGAAGTGAAATTTCTTTATATTCTACTTAAAGTAGCAACATATTCCAATTCTGTGACTTCAATAATTTGTGTATTAGCTGTTGTATAGCAATAACAAAGTTTGATGTCATAATTCTCAGTGGTAATGAACATTAAGGATAGCTTTGCATATTCAATAAAATCTCAACTAGCATATTAACAATTAACAATATTAACAAAACTTTCCATTTTTATTACCTTTGTATCTGAGGTTTCATTATTATTTTGTGTTTTCAAGTACATTTCATTTTGTGTATATTTACATACATACATGCATATATAGAGAGGGATTATGAATAAGAGAGATCATGCTACATTCTGGAATATGCTTTTATTTTTCACTCAATAAGATATTAAGGATAATAACCTATTTAATACTTAGAGACTGTTTTCTTTTCTTTTCTTTTCCTTTTTTTTTTTTTTGAGGAAGATTAGCCCTGAGCTAACTACTGCCAATCCTCTTCTTTTTGCTGAGGAAGACTGGCCCTGAGCTAACATCTGTGCCCATCTTCCTCTACTTTATACGTGGGACGCCTACCACAGCATGGCTTTTGCCAAGCGGTGCCATGTCGGCACCCGGGATCCGAACCGGTGAAACTGGGGCGGCCAAAGCGGAACATGCGCACTAACCGCTGCGCAACCGGGCTGGTCCCAAGACTGTCTTATTTTCAATGATTTAGTGGAGTAGTATTTTTCATAATTTATTTAAGCTTTCTGCTGATAGAATTTTGAGCTACACACTTTTTTTTACAACTTTAAACAATGCTGCGGTGAACACTATTATATATATATATATTTATTTATTTATACAAATGCTTCTATAGGACAGCCTCCTGGAAGTGGATCTTATCAAAGGGACTAAACATTACAATTTTTGCTCAGTACTGCCACTCTGCCCTCCAAATATATGATGTCATTTTTTGAATCTTACTAATTGTGTGTCAGTGCCTGCTTTTGGCACCCAGATACTGGGTACCAGCAATGTATTTAAGTTTGTAGAGTAAGAGTAGACACGTTACAAATCATTGTTACTTAATTTGCTTTTCAATTATGCTGAAAAATATCCGGTCATAAAGTTTTTGACAACATTTTTCTATATTACTTTTCCCTTCAAGTGTGTTGCTTGGTTTTCTTTCGGGTGTTGGGCTTTCTCTTTCCAATGCATGAAACCTTCTTATCTCCTCTGGTGGATGGGAGGTTTTCTGTCTCTCTCTCCTACTTTTATTGCATCCTCTGTCTTTACTCTATGTTCTATACTTTTCTAAGAACTTCTATGTTTAACTGATGGATTCTCATAGACGTAAACCAATGGTGTATTGTTCCTTAATCCAGGCATGAAGAGAAAATTACACTTTCCTCAATTGGGCTGGACAAGTTGAGGTGAGAGGGTCAAGACAGAGTGTAAAACCTTTGAAAAGAGATGAACGTGTACCAGATTTGTCTCTTCAATGGCACTGTATTCAAGCAGAGAGACTTAGCAGTTGTCACTGCTCTAACTGTGCCTTGCTCCAACCCAAACCTTATCCTAGATTAGAACACCTCTACCTTCTACTTCCTCCTTCCCTGAATTTTTGGCATTTTCCATACAATATGGTATGATGGTGGAGTAAGGAGAATGGATGTTTGCGGAACACAGCAACATGATAAATACACTTGGCTTAATTTAAATGGCTACAAATTGCTGCAGGTGTGTCAGGTAGCTCCAGATGTCCACAGAGCAGAGGTGAGGGGTCTAGCAGGTGATTTTGCTACCTAAAACACAGGAATTGCCTATGTTTTTCATACCTAAAGCTGAGGCTGCCTTTTTATTCCCTTCTTTGAAAACTGCGTATGGTGCTCACATTAGCTAGATTTCACTTGAAATAAGTTTTATTAGAAAGAGGAAAACTGCATTTGATTTTTTTTAAAAAAGTCCTACATGGCATCCACACACACCTTCCACAGTCTACCTTCAGCGGCACTGCTGGAAACAGGCATTTGATTTTGCAGTCTTACAGTTCTTTCTATGTACAACAGAGACAGTAAATTCCACCTCTCTTATTATTTTGTCCCAGTATTCTTCTTTTTTCTTTCAGATTAATATTGTTGTGCCCTTCATAAGTATTATGCTGATATTACTTATAAATCTTTTCCTCAAACAGTATTTACTGATTCAGGCATTTGTTTAATTGACTTATTTCTGCATTGGGCTAAAGATTCAAAGATGTATAAAGTTGTTTCAGCAATGAGGATGAGATTCTGAATATTATTTTCAGTGAGCAAATGCATAAGCACATACACACACACACGTAAACTAGCACTGGTCTGGTTTCTGAATCTCTACAAGTGACTACTGCCTTTAAAAAGAAATAACTTTGGAAAAAAACTTACCTTTGGAAGTTCCTCCATTCCCTTGTACCTCCACTTCTAATGCTGGGACCCCCTCCAAAACATAAGTCCCCTCTATCCAACTCAAACATCTCACTGATCACCAGATTTTGCTTATTTCCGTTAACTATCACTTCAAACATGTTTAAGATTTCTTCTGCCTTCCAAATGGTTTCGAGTTTGGTTTCAACTTCTCATTTATGTGTGTTCACAGGTATTCTATAGTCTCTGCTGGATTTGGGGCATTACCAATATCAAATATATCCTTGCTCTTCCATCGTGTCCATCTTCTCTCTCCTCACCCTGTCTCACTGCGCCTCTGATCCTGTTTCTACATAAAGTAAAATTTCTTCTCCCTCCCTCTTTCCCTCCAACTTAGTCACTTTCTACTCCTATAACTGACTTTTTCTTTTTCGCTGTCTCCCCTATTCCCCAATCCTATGGACAATTTCTTCTTTGTACATTTTCTCTAACCCCTCCATAGCCCAAGTCCTTGATATGCCAACAGGATTTGATATGCTTAGATACTATTTAACCATGTGGGAAACACTAACAGTCAGGTTTTGGAAGATGTGACATGGAATGGAAGCAGAGTATCAAGGTTGGTGTTGGGATGAAATTCACCAACACAGTCCCCATATTTAAACAGCAATGCCATTGTCTTCTGACCCTTTAAGATAAGGACCATGTAAAAATTCAAAAGCTCTGAGTGATTGCACCTTACAAGTAATAATTCATAAAATATTCTTTCTTAACCTGTTTAGTCTATTCTCTACTGAATAATTTAGGTGGTTTTCATCTGAAGTTATAACTTTAGAGGCTTCCCTTTGCTCTATATTGATGACATCCATTTGTAAAAATCACTACTGTGTGATATTGTACCTGTACAGAAAACAATTTTATTAATTAAGAATGGGTCTATTCAAGTGAAATCTACTACAAAGATGCCAGTGTTGCTTAACCAATGGTGGAAATTTGATAGGTTTCACATTAATATTGATCTTAGGTCTTAGATATTTTGTAATACAAAGATTACTTTTTCACATGAGTTGTGAACTTTTAGTCATAAGATTATTTTTCAGAGAAACGAGCAATTATAATTACTCAACAACAAAAAATAATACAATTTTGAAATAAGTGACTTGCTTCTTAATTTCCTTCTCATCAATACAAAATAATCCAGAGGGTTGGCCACAGAATGGTCTAGAGCAGAGGTGAGAAAACTGTGGTACCCAAAGCCTAAAATGTTTACATCTGGCGCTTTTCAAAGAAGCTTTTGCTAACAATTAGTCTAGACTATGCCTTGCTCTCTTGTCTTGTGCATTTGATCCTATGACGATAAGATGTCTACATTATTCAAAATTTAATTCATTAATTATAGTTATCTTTACACAGAAAAACATTTATATTTCTTGGGAATAACAAAATAAATTATTTTAAAGTTTAGATTTTGTAGGTTATCCATGTAAATTAGGTTTCCATTCCTTTGATGATCAAGAAATTTGGGGTCTGTTGTAAAATTTACAAATACAGAGTACCTATGTCTCCAGATATGATAAGATAATTTAAAAGTTATAATTGGTTTAGACAGTCTCAAAAGGCGTTCTAACAGGACTTATAAAATTAAAATACCTTTAAAAAGTCTATATCCAATGGAAAAAAATCCCCCTTTTGTGGAAAGCTGAAGCAGGCACTAGGTAAATCCATTTGAAAACTTCTGGTAAGATTGCCAGAGGAATCAGGGTAAGGAGGATGATACTGAAATAGGGTTTGCAACTTTTATTTTCCTGCATTGTCTGAGGAGATAGGATCAGGATGGATTCAACCCCACCATGAGATCTTCCAATACAAAAACTCTTACCTCTTGTTGTTTAAATGTATTCTCATGGACTTCGCCTTTCACTGTTTCAATATTGAGTTGCAGATCAAGCAAGGTGGTATTCAGACTTATTAATGACTTGGAGATCTCATCTATTGCATTTTCATGTCCCTGGACTGAGGAAACCAAAGTACTCAGCTGGAGAAGAACGTCATTAAATCTTTGATCAGTCATCACACTGAAATTTTGGAAATGCTCTGAATCTATGAGATTGGCTTCTGTGTCTGAAATAGATTGTATTCTCTTCTCCATGTTGCTCATGTGGTCCATAACAACTTCTCGAAATCTCATTTCATCTTCACTGTGATTTCCTTTTCCAGTGAGAGTTTGAGATATATCATTTGCATTAGTTGAACCAACTGTGCAATTCTTCATTTCCCACTTCAGGAGTTGAGCTGCATATTTAAGTAAAAATAAACAGGGTCAAGGCCTCTATCCTTAAATGCATACACCATTCCATTTCCTATCATTCCATTCCATACCATTTCATTCTATTCCATTCAAACATCTTGAATACTTTCGTAAATCAGGTATTTATTTTAAATATACAATGTATGAACCGCACTGGGCATATTGCTGAGAGAGAGACAGTCTCTTTTTCTCACTTTACATTAGAATTTATTTCAGAATTAAGTCAATCTTTCTGAACTGCCGCTTATATGAATCGTCTGGGCCTTTGGGTTTGGCTTTGACGGTAAGAGTAAATTTTACAGATTATGAAGTGTGTTGTATCCTACTCCTCAGGTCTGTTATTAGGATAAAATGAGAAAATGCTTAACACAGTGTCTGAAGCGAGCATGTTGAATACGTTAGCTATTACAAAGATAAACGATGACGATGGCAAAAACAATATGTAGCAAAAGTAGAAGAATTAATGTCACCCACTGTATGAATCAAATGTTGATTCAACTTCCTCATCTTATCACTAAGCTAGCAGAGAATTGTCTTTTTCACTTTATACAGGCCTAATTTATGGCTGGTGAAGCAGAAAAATGGACAAATTATTTTACTCTAAAAATATTCCTTTTATAAGGCTCCTCTTTACCTCTTATAAAATATATATTCATAGCAGAAAATTTAGAAAAGATGAGTAACAAGGAAAAATAATTTACCATTAATCTCACGATCCTGAGTTAAATGCTAACATTTTGGGGTATGAATATCAAATCTGGTTCTCTATTGCCACTATCATATTATTATTACAAAAGCAAGACTATATTTTACATGAAATCTGAAAGCTACTTTTTAATTAATACTACATCACAAAGACTTTTGCATATTATTTAATATTGTTTTACAAAAATAATTTTAGTAAAAGTAGCTTGTATTCTATGTATTGATCTGCCAGATTTATTTGGCAAAATCCCTACATTTAGTTTGTCTGTCTCCACTCATATATTCAATGTTTTGATGAAAAATTTTGTGAGTAATTATTTCCCAAAGAAAAAAATTCTAATAAATGATATTTTGGGGACATACAGAGCTGCTGACATATATTTCCAAATGAGCATATGTTCTCTAAAGAAGCTAATTATCCTTTTGAAAGGATCTAGAGCAATATGTTTACAGTTTCAAAAAATGAAAAGCATAAACATTAACTTTGAAGATAAAAATACAAGTTTATACACAATTAAGAAAATGTTAAACACTATTGTATCACTAATGAGCGATGGTTAAGATTTTGTCATTTTTTCATCTTTCTCTATATTTATCTATATTATTTTTACCTTTTATCTACATATATATCAACCTCTTATTCACATTAGTTTGAATGCATACGATTTCCCATATTTGACCATTATCGAGCAATAAAGGAATAATTTTATATGGTTTAAAAATATATCTACATAAGCAGCTATATCTGATCTGTCACTTTTCTTAACACAAATGATATGGCAATAATACCAGCTTTAAAGGTTTTTGAGAACTAGATGAGATAACGCATGAAAAACATTTCCCTCCATCCTGAGCTGAGTGTACCTCTGATATGAATGAGAGCTCGATGTTTATACAGGAGCAAGCTGCCTGATTCTGGAATCTCGCTCCACTCCTCAATTACTAGGTGCACTACTCTGGGCAAGTTACTTATCTTCTCCTTACTTTGGTTTTCTCAAAGATCTAAAAGTAATTACTACCTCAACAGTGGTGCCGAGGATAAATGAGATAAGGCATGTAAACTTCAAAGCACACAGCTGGCACACATGAAAACTCTCTTCAAATTTAAGTGCCTTTATCCATGGAAGATATTATCTTAGTTATACACTGTCCCCACCACCTTTACCTAAAGAAGCTGTTTGATGACAGTTGCTGCTCTAGCTATTATTATATTAAGAATAAGAATTAAATATATTTGCAATTAAATCCCAATTTTAAAAAACACATGTCATAGTCTCCTGGTTACATTCTTTTTATAATTACTTGAATTAATAAAATATGTGACCATATTTTGATATGATCCACAACAGAGGGCATATTGAGTATGTATTATTTTATACCTGATTTATCAAGAAAGTGAACAAAAAAGTATGTGTTTTATTTGAATCTCATCACATTTATTAAATTAAATGTGGGGAACAAGCTTTGGCAGGACAGCCTCAATCATGCATTCATCAATTCTATGATTTATTATTTACTAAGCACCGACTAAATAGACAGCACTGTTTGAGCAAATCTGGGAATATAAAATTGACTGGAAATGGATTTTGAACTTAGCAATCAGAAACCCAAACTAACAATTTTTACAAAATTATCTTAAATTTGTCCCTTAAAAATTTTCGTTATATGATGATTATTGCATTTTGATTATTGCATTTTTAGGCAGCAGTTAAGAAGTCATGTTCTGGAATAGAACTGCCTGGGTTAGTAAGTCCTGCTCTTTCCTTTATAAGTTATGACCTTGGACAAGTTAATTTGTCAAAGCTTCTTTTTCACTGTTTGTATAAATGGGATACTAATAGTCAGTATTTAAATAATTAAATGAGCTAATACAGTGCTCAGATCCCTTCCTGGCACACAATAAGCATTTGAAAACCTTCAGCTTTTTTGTTATTATTGATATTTTGGATTCAATATCTGTGACTTATCCATTTTCCAATATTGATAATTAGGGAGAATTAATATTGTGAAATAGAAAAAAGTGGTGGGAAGTTGGGTGTTCCGATGAGCACAGTAGTCTCTGTGCTTTATTTTACTAGGCATATTGATCTAATTACTCAACTACATAATTTTACTTTCACTGGAAACAATGAAAGTGTGGACATAAAAGACTGATTTGACAAAATGTCATGTGACCAAGGGTTTTTATTCAATATCAGGTTCAATATGAGTTGACAATAAAGGGTACATTTTGCTTATAGTTTTAAAAATACAACATGGCTTGTTTTTCCAAATCCTGAATGAAAACTAATTTAATCTTTACTTTTGTTAAAAATGTTTAACTCTGTATCACAAATCTAGGTAAAGAATGCTAGAGTTCATATTTTCAAATGTTCCCTTTGCTCATTATCATCAGAGAGATGGCATTTTGTGACTGTTCTATTTCCCATAGGAAAGGAGACAAACTTTTACGGCTTGTGCAAACACCTAGGCAGAGAGTCATATTTGATTTTACAGATCACATTTACTCTTTCAAGTTGGTAATATCCTATCCTACTAAAAATTTTATATTATTTTGAGCTAAAGAATCTTCAATATTTCAGTAACAATTTATATGCATTAATCCCAGATTATATTTTATTGTCCAGAGACATTATTATGTTGTTATAATGGGACAGTGATCTAGTAGCTTCTTTAAGGAAAGGTAGCATATGGAGTAGAATTTATAATGAAGTAATATCTTTCAATGTATAAGACACTTGAAATTTAAGTAGAACAGTTATGTATGACATTTTATTTCATCCATCAATTCATTTCCAAAACAGAGTAATTTCTATCATTTTACAGACATATTTTGTCTATATTTGTAATTTTTTGATATCAAGTAGAGATACATATTACAATCTAGTTCCTTTTTTGAAAATATTTTGATCTACAACTTAATTGAAGTTGTAAATGGAGTGTCCATGTTTATTATTCAAATATGATAGACACAGTGAGATCTGTTCCATATTCTGGTAAATTTGGGTGCTAATGTGAACTTAAAAGATTTGAACATTTTCAGCTTCTTGTCCAGGCTTTATAGGTGTCTGTTGTAGTTTTAGAAGACAAAACTACTTCAGATCAATCATTGAGATCACTCGAGAATAAATGTATTGACTTGGTATTTTTGAATAGCCCAGAGACTTTGAACTTGGTTAGAACCCTGAATGCTTTTCAGACTTTTGTCTGCATTCTGCATGGGCCTCTTAGGAAGAAGTTGTGTTCCCTAGGGTTGCCTCTGCGGACGATAGTTTGCATAAAAGTAAAGAAATTCACCCAAATTCTAACTGGTTTATAGCTAATGATCCCAAACAATGAAACTTCTTTCAGTTATGCATTTCAAACTACAGATAAGCATATACATGAACAACATACAGATAACTTTAGTTCATCAGGAAGTTAACTGTTTACTGGCAGACACATCAGGTCCTTTTCCTTAGGATGGTTGAGGTTGGTTGGTTGGTTAACTAGTTTAGTTTGTTGTGGTTGGTTTTTTTGTTTCTGTTTGTTTTTAATGGTCAAAATAGGAGTTAATTTTTACCTGTGGAAAATATTTTCCTGGATAAAATTATGGCCACTCTGTTTAGTATTCTATTGGTCAACCATATTTTGTTATTAAAAACCCAATTACACTGGGAGATAGTAGACCATAGAGTTAGGAGTTAAGAGTCATGAGTAGCAAGACCAGCTCCACTACTGAGCGGTCTCAGTTTCTTTTTGTGGATAAAAAGGCTAAATATATGTCTACTGAAGGGTGATTGTAATGGTGTCTTAAGATAATCTGTGGAAAGTTTATAGCCCAGTAAATACTCAAAGATGATAGTATTGTTACCACTGTGGTGTTTGATTATCATTTCTTTGTTAACAGAATTTTAGCTGTCTTGGAGTATTCCTTTAGGTTGCCTCTTAGCAGGGGAGGTTTATCCCTGCATTTAGGAACATTTTCTTGTTAAGCTGATTAGTATGCACTTAAAAATGTATCTTACTCCTGGCCTCTCTCCTGTGAGAGCATATGTCCAGACATTTTGCCAGTCAGAGAGAAGAGGAGAGCGACAAGTCATATAAATTCAAATACCAATCAAGTCCATCAAAAATGCTACTGAAGAGAATGATATTTATGGATTTGCTTGAGGTATATGCAAGCCATCCACCCTTGTGGAAAGCCTCAAATCTATTCCCAATTCAAGCCCGACTCTCCGAAGAAATATGTACCTGGAAAATATGTTGAGCCCGCGTCACGTGTTTTCTCTAAAATATTTTTTAAGAGGATGATATCAGGTTATTTTTAGAGATGTTTTAAATAATAGCTTTATGAAACATCTGACTATATAAACTATATTGATACCAATGAGGTGTAGGCCAAGATTTTACAAGGTCTCCTCTTTTTGAAGACTTATAGGAATATTTCTTTTGTTCTCAATACTCAGAATAGAAAAGCTTTTCCTGAACAATACGCTTTTGTTTATAGTCTACACATTAATGTAAATTATCATGTTTATATCTTCACATTGGTAACTAGAATACTTAACATGAAATTTGTGATCCACTGCCAGAAATATATAGGACTTCAGAGGATAACATATTTTTGTAATGATCTAATCTTTCCCATCTTACCTTCATTTTTTTATCTTAATCTTTTTTTATCTTAATCTATATTTTTATCTTAATCTTTCATTTTCTATTCTATTTCTTTTCTTTTCTTTTTTCACATAACTTTGCAGAATCTACTTTTTCATTTAATAAACTTGAGGAACACTTTGTGACATGAAGTTTCCCTTTTAAATCTCCCATATTCAAAAGATTGAATGTTTCTTTTTGCCTCTACAACCACTAATTCACAGGATAGGCGGCTGAGTTTCAGAACTCTAGAATACTGTACCTGCCACTACTCCGATGATGGGTACGAGAACTACGAACACAAGGAGATAGAGGACAATCAAGGCAGCTTTGAAGGACTTCAGTTTCTCTTGAAGGGCAGCGCCATTTTTGGGATCTAAATAAACAAAATCCAAACCTACTGTTAGAAAATTCACCCTTCTTATTTAAGATTCTTGTAATCTCCAATTATATTGTCACTACCAAGACTATTAGAATAAAAAGGGAAAAAAATATGTCCTTGCTTATTTGGGAGGAAGCAAAAACGACAGTCACAGAAAAAGCCAATGCAGGCGTAACTATGGACATTTGATTTACTTATCCATTCACGAAACATCCATGACAAAGTTACTATCCTCTGCAAGTTGTACTTGTCTCATTTTGGGGCATTTAGTTGGCAACTTTAATACCGTCCAACATACGCAAACATAAATTTTATTCTTCTGTTTCATGTGGGAATATATTCTGAGTGAAAATAAAATTACTCAAGTAACTATATAATTATGAATTCTTTAAGATTTTAAATCAGATAGAAATTTATTTTTGATGATAATTATGCAAATTTTCTTTTCCAATCCATCTCACTAATTTTTTATTTGGATACCTCTTATAATCTGAATACAATGTAAAAAAAAAAAGAAAGCAATGAAATAAACAAAAGTTTTCACATTTTGAGTAAACTTTGGAATGGATCAATGAAGCCTATCCTCTGGATATTTCAGCACATATTAATATTTTCGTATTATTCATTTATATGGAAGAGTGATTCATATAATGGGATGCTAACTGTGGAAAAGATAATGATGTAGGGGGAATCTTAGTAGAAGAGGAAGATACTTCTCTGGTTAGGTGAATAAAACTTCCATTAAAAACTTCTTTCCTATGGCCATTGTTTATACTGCTCAAAGAAAAAGGAGTAATTTTTTTCTTTTCCTGAGGAAGATTTGCTCTGAGCTAACATATGCTGCCAAACCTTCCTCTATTTTGTATGTGAGTCACTGCCACAGCATGGCCACTGATAGATGAGTGGTGTAGTTCCTCGCCTGGGAACCAAACCGGCCTGCTGAGGCAGAGTGTGCCCAACTTAACTGGTAGGCCACCAGGGCTGGCCCAAAACAGAGGTAAATTTTGTTTTCAGGTTGTAAACTCCTAAATTTAACACAAAATTTAGATGTTGTTTAATAATGTTCTATGAGAAAGTGAAAGGAAAAGGAGAGAAAATTTTTAAGTAAAGAAAAGAGAAAGAAATAGGAAAGAAACGATCTAACGAAGGAGAAAAAGAACAACCCACAATACAAGCAAGCTGGGATGTTACATCTGCCAGGTTGATTAAGCCTAAAACCCAGGAGTCATCTTCTCTCTCATCTCCAATTTACAATAAATTCTCAGTATTCTGCCATTTAAATAGTTCTCAAAACTTTCTGTTGCCTTTTCTAGGTCCCCAATGCCTCTGTCCTCCCTCACCAATCTCTCAACAGCTCCACCACCTAACAGCTTTTACTATTATCTTTTTTCCTCTGTGTCATGGGAGTCACATTCTCTCATCCACCGTTTGCACAGCACACAAGATGCATCGTGCCTTGGGTTGTAGTCTGTATTTCAGGTTTGTCTATGTAAGAACTCACATATAATCCTATAACTTTGTATTTGCTGCTTCCTCTGACTGAAAAACCTCTATGGTTCCTTCCCCACTCATCCCATCCTTTTGGGGAAATGCTTCATTCTTTAAAAGTTAGCAGAGCTATAAGCCACGCCATCCTGCTGCCTTAAAGGAACCTGTGCAGATACAGCTGAGCACTGCTTCTATGGAGCCCCTGTAACCTGTGCCAAATCTGTTTCAGCACTGTTGTGGATTGAGCTGTGTCCCTCAAAAGGATATTGTTGAAGTCATAACTCTGGTTACCTGTGAATGTGATCCTATTTGAAAACAGGATCTTTGCAGGTGTAATCTGGTTAAGATGAGGCCACACTGGATTAGAGTGAGCCTTAATCTAATGATTGGTGTCCTTATAAGAAGAGAAGAGGACACATAAAGACACAGGCAAGAAGACCGTGTGAAGCTGGAGGAGGAGATTAGAATGATGCAGTTATAAGCCAAGAAACACTAAGAATTGCCAGGAGCCACTAGAAGCTAGGAATAGGCAGAGAAGGATTCTTCTCTAGAGCCTTCAAATGGAGCACGACCTTGCCAGCACCTTGACTTCAGACTTCTGGCCTTCAGAAGTATGAGAGAATAAATGTCTGTTGTTTTAAGCCATCTGACTTGTGGGAATTTGTTACAGCGGCCCTAAGAAACTAACACAAGCACTGACTACCCATGATTTCTAAATATTCATGGTGCTAGGGTCATAGTCAATCCCAGGACCTAGTCCAGTGCCTGGGAAATCAGAGGACTCAATCAATATTGTAGACTAATTTAATCTATTACAATGTTTCCTTACTTCAACTTAAGCTTATTTTCTATTCTGTGTCAAGACAGGAGAAGACTGATTCATCCAATGAGTATTATTTGAACATTTATACACAGTTAAGGCAAGTCTCAAGATTATAATTTTACATGATGTCAATAACTCTAAGGGCAACCTCCATGGGCACTCCAACCTCCTACTTACTCGGAGGAAGCAAAGCTGTCATTGAGCGAGCATCAAACTTCACAGACTCTGTACAGCTGTCAGCGTCCTCTGGTTGATCAGAAAAGCTATCCCACTGCTCCATACTTCTATCAAACACATGGAAAAATATATTAATTACACATGAAATGGCTAAGGACCTTTGGCATAATGTTTCAAGTTGAATTTTATAATTATAGCAAGGAAACAAGCATAATTAATTAGCTAAATTTACAAATCTGCCATATAGAGCCATAAATTAAACCTACCCATGCCTTGCAATTTTAACATTACAAGACTTAATGGAGCCTACTCAAGTATATTTCTACATACAAATGTGTATCTATTTGTAGGTGTGTGTTTTTTGAGAATGAAAGGTAGTTTTTTTTTCTTAGCTAGAAAAATATTTTCCCAAGTGACAGAAAACAACTGTTTAGCTGAAAAGAAAAAATAGTTTCCCTTGGAACAAAGATGTGCAAAGTTTGGAGCAAATATTTCCTGTGACCTTTTATCAGAGCTTCATGAGTCAGTTTTCCTTTTACCAAGGCATCTGTTTATGATTTTGGAAAGATGAAGTCTAGTTACTAGATTAGGAACAACAGGAAAAAGTTTTTTATTTCTTTTTTTTTTCCCTTGTATTTATATATTTGTTCAGGGCTTCTCTCGTTATACACTGGCAGCATCACAAAAATGTCCTTGTACCTTTTTAAGCACAATCTATATTCTATGACATAATCTATGCCTGTGTCTCTTTAAGATGCATCAGAATCGTTTGAAAGACTTGATTAAAAACAGATTGATGGGCCTCACCCCCAGAGTTTCTGTTATTTGGGGTGAGGGTCATGAATTTGCAATTTCAACAAGTTCTCTAGCAACGCTGCTCCTGCCAGTCTGAGGACCCATTTTAAGATCGTTTTCGGTCAAAAGAAATCGTATGACTTTTTCTTAGAAACAGTTGAGTTCATTTGATTGATAAATTTAGCATGAAGCCAACATCTTCTGATCATTTCTTATTTTCTCTCAAGCTAAGTTATGGATTTAACACAGCTGTAATTGTAACTGAGTACACTGGCAGCTCCAGGACACCAAATTCACATTTTGTCCAGGAAATGAAGGACAATGGCTCATATGCAAATGCTCATCCTGCCTTGAGGAGAGATATTGACAAGTAAGGATGCGACTCAATTCCTGTCAATATATTGTTTTAAGTATTATCAAGGAGATTCTTTATTTTGCAGTTTGCAATGACAATCTTTGTACACGTATCATCCTATGGATTGGTTGTAGTTTCTGTAAATCCTATTGATCTGACCAAGAAGTGTATTTAAATGTTTGGCCACTGTGGAGGAAGGGAGAGGACGGGGAAGGTATAGGACCTACCTCCTCTTTTCTTAGGCAGAGGCAAAGTGAAAGAAATAAATAATTATCGGGGAAAATTGACCATTATAGAAAACTAAATTGGATAATTCAGATCCAACCTCTATTGCCATTTCTACCTTTTGAATTTACTCTGCTATTTGATTTGGATGACAGTTTTACTTTCCAAGCAAAACAAATTAACAATTTTTTTCTTTTTTTTTTTTTTTTGCTGAGGAAGATTTGCTCTGAGATGACATCCATACCAATCTCCCTCTATTTTTTAGTATACAGGCTGCCAGCACAGCATGGCCGCTAACAGAGCGGTGTAGGTCCACACCCGGGAACCAAACCCAGGCCACAGAAGCAGAGTGTGCTGAACTTAACCAGTAGGCCATGGGGGCTGGCCCTCAAAAAAACAAAATCTTAAAAACTGAGATGACAATAAAGCTTAGTTATATTCATTTTAAAACTATAGTTTAAAGCAATTGGGACTATGTGACAAAGATTTTTAACTTTGAGCTCAAGTTTATAAAGGATGGGCTCACAAAGTATACGTTTAGATACACCTGCTATGTAACTAGAAATCCTTTCCTTTCAGTCAGCTTTCTGGCCACTTCTCCACGTGTTTGATGATGGCTTTGGTTCTAATATTTGAGACATTATGACTCCATTTTCACTTATACACAAAAGAAACATCTCTTATGTTACTCTCTTCAAGATGGGAATATTTTTATTAAAAAAGTGAAACCTATTGAACCTGACAAATCTCTCTAGACTGTGAACTGCATAAGAGAAGGGACATGTCTGGTTTTGTTCAATGTTATATTACCAGAGCCTAAAGCAACCAGGAATCATAAATATTTATATTTATTATTTATTTAATATTTATTATAATATTAGCGTTTGTTTTTATTTTGTCAGGTCCAATTGACAACCAGCTACGGTCACATCCCATTGTGGTCCTGAAGGGAACATTCCTAGCATTGTGGCTGGAACAATTCCCTTTTGTGAAGGAGTATCTTAGTTGTGTAGGATGTTTATCACTCCTGGATGCCACCCACTAGATGTCAAAAATGTCTCCTAATCATTATTTCACTGCTTCCCCCCGCAATTATCCAAAAACTTCATCCCCACACAGTTCCAAATACCCATCCCTCTTTGAGAACCACTCTTCAACCTGCATCCTCAGCGTGAATGGACAGTCAGGAACTGTCTCTCTCTCTCCCCGCGATATTTGCCTTGAGCAATCTGACTGTTAACATGTCTTTAATGAAGATTTGTTTTCATGAAAAAAAAAATCTTCATGAGCTTTAGCAACAGATTGCTCAAATTGTCTTGGAGGATTTCTCTCAAACCACTCCGTCTGTGTTTAGCCCTTTAAATACATATATTACAGAACTTTGTCAAAGCGTATAGGAATGCTTCTTACAGAAAACTTAAACATTTTAATATTTTAAAGAGAAAAGAAAGTGGCAAATCCAGGATGATCATTCACTGATCTAATCTTGGCCTCAATAAAGCAGAATGAAAATTATTTTTGTCCATATACTTGCTCAGAAACTTCACATGTACTTTCAAATAAATTTGCAATTTAGAACCCACATGGCCTCCTTGGCTTAAAGGACTTTTCTTGGGAGAAAGAAAGAATCCCATTGGGTTTTTTTAGGGGGCTCTAGAATGCTAGATGCTACATTGTAAAAACAGAAAAGTGAATGATAAATTTTGGGATATTTTCAATCAATGAATTTAGGATAGAAATACCTATCTCTTCACATAGGCCAGTCCAACTAATTCCTGGTATGAGTCATTATATTAAGCATTGTGCAAGTCACTAGAATGCCGAGGTCATCATGTATAGAACATTCTCAACCACCAACAATTTTCTGCATTAATATGAATGACTAAAATCTTCATAAATAATCTCCTGACAATGTGGTATATATACACACAAAGCACAGGCATAGTCCAAAAGAGAGTGATTAACTCTTTTGGGAAAGTGGCTAGTTAAGATGGGAATACAGAAAAGATAACAGTTTATCAGAATTTTGAAAAATGAGCAGGAATTTGGAATAAGAAAAATATTCCAGGGATGGAAAATACGTTAAAGAGCATGAAGGCATGAGGAACATGGGAACCAGAGTGGATCAGCATCATGGAAGCAGGAGCTCTGGGCAGAGGGCCTAGCAGAAGAGGCCAGAGGAGAATGTAGTTGGGGGCATCCTACTCATCAATTTCTTCTTTCATTCTTCTGATTATATAAATCAATCTGGCTTTCACAACCTACTCCAAAAATAATATTCAAGATATATCTATACAGACTACTATCTTAGCGTGTACACAAAAATTAACTCAAAATGGATTAAAGACTTGAATGGAAAACCTGAAACCATAAAACTCCTAGAATAAAACTTAGGTGGTATGCTCCTTGACATTGGTCTTGGTGATGATTTTTTGAACCTGACAAAAAAGAAAATCAACAAAAGCAAAAATAAACAAATGGGACAACATCAAACTAAAAAGTTTCTGCACAGCAAGGGAAATCATCAACAGAATGAAAAGACAACATGCCGAATGGAAGAAAATACTTGCAAATCATATGTCCGATAAGGGACTAACATAAAAAATATACAAAAAATTCATACAACTCAATAGCGAGAAAAACCATTCTAATTGAACAATGGATAGAAGATCTTACTAGATATTTTTCCAAGGAAGATATACAGATGACCAACGGGTACATGAAAAGATACTCAACATCATTAATCATCAGGGAAATGCAAATCAAAACCACAATGAGATATCACCTCACACCTGTCAGAATGGCTATTATCAAAAAAGACAAGAAATAGTAAGTGTTGTTGAGGATGTGGAGAAAACGGAAACCTTGAATACTGTTGGTGGGAATGTAAATTGGTGCACCCATTATGGAAAATGATACGGCAGTTTCTCAAAAATTAAAAATAGAACTACCATATGATCCAGCAATTTCACTTCTGGGTACTTACCTGAAGAAAACAAAAACATTAATTTGAAAAGATATATGTATCCCTAGGTTCATTGCCACATTATTTACAGTAGCCAAGGTATGAAAACAATCTACGTGCCCATTAGTGGATGAATGGATAAAGTAAATGTGGTGCATATATACAATGGATTATTATTCAACCATAAAAAAGAATGAAATCTTGCCATTTGTGACAACATGGATGGCCTTTGAGGGCATTATGCTAAGTGAAATAAGTCAGACAGGGAAACACAAATAATGTATGTGTTATCTCTCTTATATGTGGTTTCTAAAAAAAAAAAAAAGACCAAGTTCATAGATACAGAGAACAGATTGGTGGTTGCCAGAAGCAGAGGGTAAGAGGTGGGAGAAATGGCTGAAAGAGGTCAAAAGGTAAAAATAAATAAATAAGCACTTAGAGCCCAGCACATAGTAAGTACTCAATAAATGTTACCTATAATAATTTCATCATAAAAAAACAGAAACTGTCCCCTCTATATCACTTAGAGTGATTTAGGTTAAAATTTATGTGATTAACCCATTCCTCCTGTGTTTTAGTTGAAGACAAAATTATGTTTGCAGCTATGTTTCTATCTTTTCTGTAATTCAACACTGCACAATCCAACTTGCTTTCTTTGGCTTTTAGTTTGCCAGAAAACTAAAGATATCACCTTCCTTTTGCAACTGTAATAGTCTAAACAGGCCAGCTGCCTTGAAAACATCTATCCAGACTTCTGTTTTACCTTT